GCAACAATCACATCGGTTATCTGGTTTAAAAGACAGATATAACCCCATCTCTAGTCCAAATAAATGACTACAGGCTAGAGTATTACCGGTGCCAAAGCAGATACTCCCCCCCCCTCCCAAATGTCCAGTCCCCGGAGTCCCCCGGACACTATCCGCGTGACCGGGTCGCGGACAAAGTGTTCGCTTTTGCGGCTGTCCCCCTCGCAAACTGTACGATTACGTTCATAGAATGAGACGTTTTAATTATGAAAGTGGTGTGGACAACACTTTTTTAAGTTTTTCGTAACATTGTTTTTTTATTTGGAATCTTGGTTATCTTGGAAGTTGGAATGTTTGTAATTTGAAAACCAATTCTGTTTACAGCAGAGGCATTTTAATGTATTCCATCCTTTTTATTATTGCATGATATCCTACTGTTAATTTATATTGAAAACAAAGTCAAAGTGACAAAGGGATGTCTTGCAATAATAATACAATACAATACAATAGTCAATACAAAAACGTAAGTTTATTTAAACTCGAATTTAGCAGTAGCCACAATTAAATAGCTCATTTCTTCAATCAATCATACTATAAAAAGTATAATAGTAACATAGTCTTGCAATATAAAATCTGCACGCTTTAAAAGACTAAAAATATCGGTTGCATGCGTATACGCATGAATAGACATATTAAAGTTAGTTTATATGAAAGAGCCTGCCCATGATGGGCAGTCGCTAGCATCATTATAAACATTAAGACATTATACAACGACAAAGTGTATCTGGAAAGGTCCGAACGTTCATTTGCACCGTATAGTCTGTCAAGATACAATGGTCTGGAAGGCCGGCAAACTTCAAAGTTACAAAATAGAAAGCCGTTCTCTGATGTGGAACTGTACCTCACCGTGCACAAATCCTTTGTCTCAACTTCATTAAATATCACGAAAGTGGTTGCACGTTTCACTCAGTTATCCCTGCTGCCTATCGAGTATTGGACGATCACTTCAATATTACGAAAATACAATGTCAATGAGTCAACCCGTGACCGTGCACAAATTAACATGACTTCTGTTTAGTTTCCAGACCGGCATCATATCTTGATAGACTGTGAGTGCACGGGTGATTGTTGTTTCCGATTTTCTATTAGTACTTAGTATTAGTCTCGTCCATGCCTATGTCATACATGTGATTCAGTTTATTCATTCACAAAAGTATACAGATTATGGAAAGGCCTGACTTTTATGCCTAATGACTTAGAAAAAAACGCGATTTACTAAAAAAAAATTTTCCTCTCATACGGCTGTTAATTCAACAATACAATAGACATGGTCGCAGCCTGTAGTGTAGTTGTTTCAGTCACTGCTTCGTACTTTTTATACTTCAGTACTGAAACACGGTATGCGCGTTTAATATTCTTCAAAATTAAGAGTGTTTATTTAATAGCAGAATATGACAAAAAGCAGAATTTGACAAAAATCCTTATAAATCTATTTTTTCGTAAGCCCGTGTTGCAGCTAATGGGGCATAAAAGAGAAGATTAGCATAAATATGTAAACAATTATGTTTGATGTTGACGCCATTATTACCAATCATATCAAACACGTACAGTAACAGAAATTTTCTTCTTTTGCTTTTCAATTCCAGCACATTTTCCTCTAAAAACAGTCCCAAGCTTTTCAGTTTACAAAAATTGCACGAAGAGATATGATAAAACATTCGTGAACCCCGTAAAGATAGCTGAGCGGCCTTGCCCTTGTGTAGGTAGTTTCTTTGTCGATAATTAACTGTAAATGACACTGGTCAGGTTTATTGCTGTGAGACAGACTGTAAAATTTGGGCCGGGTTTATCAGTCGAAACATCTTGTCTTGATGTACATGCAGTAAGATCCATAACGAATAGCCTCGAACTGGCAAAGCTATATATATTTATAAAGAATCTATACAAACGCTGAAGTGAAATTTTCTTTCACAACACAAACAGCATACAATTTCATAGGAAACGTGTATTAAAATGATTAATGGGCATTTCCATTTTGTACCGAATTGATACGTCGAGGAGTACCGGATGATACACTTGAAACACTTCGCTACGTCTAACCATAGCTCACTCACTGCCTATGGTCGGCTCTACAGCTGATTTTAGATATTTCGGCCAAACGGCCAAGTTTCCGCACATGTTCCTACCTTGGAAACATCAAATACCATTCCACAGTTTTCTACTGGTGCTAAAGACCCTCACATCTAGAATTCTATCCACAGATTTTGTTTCAGAATGTACGCATAGCGGTTTTCTTTGGCTATACGCACTTTCGCTATGCAGCCTCGTCTTCGTGTATGTGACATAAGTTAAAGCCCAACACCTCAATCACGAAAACGAGGCTCTATAGGCCGTACTTCCCGGAAGGGTGTATTGCGCATTCACATATATCAGGAAATTTCATGGAAAAAGCGGAGGAAATTTTTTTGCATTTTCTGAACCGGAAGTGCTTTGTTAAAAATTAACCAAATGTAGGTCTATAAACTCCAGTAATTTTTTGCCAAATACTAGACAGCCCAGTAACCCAAATCCCATTTACCCAGTCCAAAAATAGGCAAATCCCAGTTCCCATTTACCCCTTCAGGACCCTCGTTATAGAGATCACCAGTTCCTTCTGATTATATATAGGTGTGCCGAGCGAATAATAAACTGCATGATTGTTTGTATTTGCGAAACACCTTGTCCACTGAATAAACACGAGCTTTCACAGACACAAAACAACGCAGAATCACTACAATTGGTAAGCTGTAGCCTAGGCAAGATGAAAATGCAACTCTTTCTGGTGGGCATGTATAGTCGCCAAATTTTTACTAAGAGCATGCATGCAATGTATATAATGTGAGTTCACTTCGCAGATATTAATAAAATCATAGTAAAATGTTCAATTGCATTTCAATGCTATAATGATTACATAGTGTATTACATCTTGAACTTACTTTTTTAACAATATACCGAATAGAATTTGACGATTATAAACGCAAGTTCAAGCTCAACAGTTCAAAACGGCAACGAAAATGAAATTTTTCAAATACGTTCCAGGGGCCGGTTGTATTTAAACTCTTAATCACTTTTTTAATCACTATTTTGTAGTTACATAGACATAGTGATTAACTCTCAAATAGGCGCTTCTTACTGGACGACGTTTGCACTTAATCATAGTTAACTTTAATCACTTTTTTATACAACCGGCCCCTGTTTTACATTTTTAACATATCGTTTTTCCTATGACTAGGTCAAACCAGTCCAACAATGACGTTGAAAAAAACTTTTGAAAAAGTCAAACTTGAATAAACATCAGCTAACATCACTAGCAAACATAACGTTTGAACTGAAACCCAACATGTTGTATCCATTAACTAATGTAGGATGATACTAAGCCACAATGTCAAACTACGTTGGATGAAACTTTTAAATAAAGTCAAACTGCAACATTGCCAACCATGTCTGAACAAACCCAGTATGTTGCATCCATTAATTGTGGGATAAGGTTGCGAAACAATGTTGAACTGGTTTTTTGAAAGGACCTTCAAGGCAGAATTTCGGAAAAACATACGTCAAAAGAAATAAGATATTATCATATTAAAAAGTTGAATATTGGAGTAGATGGATTATCCAAATGACGATATACTTAACAAATGTAACACTAAGACCTAGTGACAGTAGTGTTGCATTTTTCGCAACCGTTCCTGGTTAGGTATAAACAGTGTATATATATCCGCCATTCAGTTTCAACCAAGTGAAGTGCAGAAAAAAATCTAATTTAGAATAAGTTCACCTTAAAAAGTTTTTTATAGGTACACAACACGTCATGTATCGGTTTGAAGAACATCACCTGTGAAATCCTGAGCTAAATCTTGTCTATCAATTTCACACAGAGCTTTGCGAAGTTCCTCGCGCCAGGACTGCGCGGCTTGATGACGAGATGTCCACCAATGTTTGAGCATCATATATGCTTGCCACACCACATCAGCCAGATTATTCAAGCGAATCTCCTTTATTTTGCTATCGCTAATACCAAGAAATTTTGCCAGTTCTTTCCAGTCTCCAGGGATATTTTGAGCCAATTTCAGCAAATGATTATCCATATACTTATCTATAAAAAATGTCAGGACCTGTTAACATATGTCAGAAAGAATGTGCTGACCTGGCTTGAATAAATTCCTAAGAACCTCCTTTATAAGGACACTGAAGGGAACGAGCAATATACATATCAGAGTGGTGTTCGTTTACTGAAGTCATCACCGTGTTTTGAACCAAAAATAACCATACAAGCAAAAAATGTTTCAAATAAAATGCATGCAGCCAGAAGGTGCAGGCAGAGAAAATATATCACAACACAAAAAAACACCAAGCCAACCGTAAAATCTATGCATGGCAGAAACCTCCCCACCCCCCACCTACCACTTCACTTTTCTAATACTCCGTCCCTAAAACGAAGGAAGTTGTACATAGCATACACAGGATGTTTGAGCATCTCACTCGATCGAACAAATGTGAAGGATTTTGTAGATGGAAATTTCGAACGTAAATTTTGTACATTTATTGAGACCTAACCAGGAACAGACACGAAAAATGCAACCATAGGCCTTCAAGGATTTGAACTTGCGACACTGTGATTGTGGTGCAGCGCTCCAACCAACTGAACTACAGTGTCCACCTCTAACCGCAAGTTTTATAATCAAGATATAATAATGAACTGCAGGGTCGATTCTGGTCAGAAGGCCTATAGTTGCATTTTCCGCAAATGTTTCTGGTTTGGTCTCAATAAATGTTGAAAAACCTACAAAATCCTTCAACAAATAATATACACAAACTATCATTAAAGTAGTAGAGAAACCGAATTGGCACTTCCTAAGGCGAAGAAAGAATTCGGAAAATATGATTATAATTATAATGGAACTGCACTTTGGAGTAACTAGTATAACCCTATGACACAAAAATTGTTCTACTGTATATTAAATTATTTTCAAAAGATTATAAATTAAAGAATGACTAAATTGAAATTGGCTCGTCCTATTTCATATTCTTAACTATATGGATCGATGATGATAGATTTGTATAACAGTATTTTTTGTCAGATCAAGCCCCTCATGGAAACCAGCTTGTCGTATTTATGTGTATGTATCAGTAATAAATATATTTTGTTACGACAAGCAACTGTTCATTTTAGAGGGATAGGAGAGGTTCGACTGTATTGTAGAATAGTCTGTTGCAACTGGTAGTGCAGTATATTTTATACCCTCTGCAGTTTATACCTTGAGGTTTTTGACATTCAGTATCTGCATTCATGTGGTCTTGGTTGGTTTCTGGAAAAGGATGTTGTGAGGAATTGCCGGGTAATGCCGAGCTAGATGGATGTTGAAAAGTCCCGTTTGATCTTGGGAGTTCTTCATTTCTTTCTTCCATTAAAGCTAAATGAAAAATACGAGTTTTGAATACAAATTCTGAATAATATTTTCTTATCATATCACTGCCGTAAATCATGGGTTGGGAGACACAACTTTTTAAGTTTATGAAACATAATGTATATCACTATCATTATTGCAATATAATTGGGCTTGGCGTCTTAAACAAGCCAAGAGATATAAATTGTCTTATCGCAATGCAAACTTTGAGAGAACTTATACTATCAAACATCTTGATACGTTTTTAGTGGAGTTGGACTATACTGCGACTACATAGACTAGGCAGGATTGAGATTCAACTTAGCAGGACTTGAGGGCCAAAAGAACACCTGCGAGACGTGTTGCCTTTCTACTGGACGGTTCTTATTCAATGATCAAGTCGCATGATTGGTTGAGGTGCAGGAAATTCAGTCAACTGTAATTTTCCAACTTGGGCAAAAAATCATTTTAAAACATTTCTACGGTTCCAAAACTTGGTATTACAGTCTAGTTTTTTGACATTGGCAAACTGCTGTGTAAAACGTGAATAAAACGATGTTTTCCGAGTGTGATGTTCTTCGTTCGTTCATGGCAGTCATCATAAGCGGCTTCAATGGTGCCGGCCAAGCTATCATTCCAGTCTCCTTTGATTTCAGAGTTGTGAATGGAACCTTTTTTAATTTGAATTTCAGTTTGAGCTTATTAAAATAATTTTTTTGGTTTTATTAATGAACTAGTTATTAGACCAACGAGACTCTAAGAACCACTCTAGGAAACTTCCTGACGTCATTGACTCATCCTTTTGAAAAACGTGACGTGACGGCGGTCACGCGTATTGCGAATATTACCAAAGTTCTCGGCATTTTTGTTGTTTTGCTATATTTTCCACTTTAAAAGGGTGATATTGAAGCATAAACTGGTCCAATTGTTTTAAAAACATGACTAAGCCACGACAAAGTATTCAAGGTAAATGTTTTTCGTCTTTGTTTTGTATTTTTTTTACATTTGTAGCTACGAAATTGGCGTCACAAATTTTAACGAAATTTGCGATGTATTTTTCACTGTTTAGTGCTTGAAATATTTGCTAAAATTGACTGGGAATACTTAGAGTTTTAATCGTAGAATGGCGTGGTTATCTTTATTTGCTCTTTGGCTAAAATGTTTAGCTGTATTATTGCTAAACATGCCGTTTTTGAGAATTTGGTTTGCAACTAGGTTTGAACATCCAACCACGCCATCAGCCCATTGAAAACATTAGGCCACGTCAGCTAGTTTCCTATCCATTTATTTTATTATCCATGGTCATACTTATGTGGTAATGTAATTGATCACTATGCATACATACAAAAATTTCAAACGTTTTTCCTATATACCCAAGCTGTTCATATATAGGAGAATAAAATGTTAAACTCTAACTTCTAACTTATGTAGATATCAGGCCTATAGAAAATATATTTCTCTTCCTGCCAGAAAAATCCAAAAATAAACATTTTCTGTGCAAGTCAAATATAAAACGTCCTGCCTATGTATGTAGATTTCATAGACGGTGCCGCACAGTGTGATAAACTCCAATCTCTGCACAAGATTATTGATTGTTCCAGTATATAAGTTTCCGTATACTTTACTGGTCATGTAACTTTAGTATATATAGGCAATCTCCATATATAGCTCATTCAAAAAAGGTTGTCCTAAACTCTAAACCTTAAACTCTAAGAGTGCAAAGCATAATGGGAACTTCATTTAATCAGTTTAGAAATCATATATGGGGTCCATTTCTTAGATACATGGTAAATATCTCCTTACGAGAACAATTCAATCACAAATAGTGCAATATTCAACTAATGAGATGGCATCTTTTGTAGACGTATTTTAAGCTATTCAAAACACTCGTTCTCGTGTTTTTTTCAGATATAAAACGCTCGGCTGCTGTAACCTCATTGCTCGTACGAATTTTCTAACATCACTTTTCAACGTACGACGTTTCCACATGCAATACATGATGAAACAATATGATGGTTACAAATTTTCTCATACTAGATTAAACAAATAGAAGTATCTCAAAGTAAAGATACACATATTATAAAACTTTACAACATAAATTACTTTATAAGATATAGTTGAACCAACTTACTACTAGAATTTTCTATCTCGTCATCTTCTATCTCGTCATGTGAAACTAGGTAAAATAAAAATATTAAAAATGTGTGTTTTTGACAGCACACAAGTTGACAAGTGCTATGTCGACCAGCAAGTATGTGAAACAGAAATCATATCTGATTGTCTGGGGGTCGGTTGTACGAAGGCCGGATTTTTTTAAGAAGATTTTTTCAAATGCTTGGAAAGCGATAAAAACACGACTTGTATGTTGAATTTACACTAACAATCCGACTATAATGTCATAAAGGAAAAAACGCAGGATTAGAATTTGGAGCTTGGAATTCTATAAACAATTCGGTTTACGAATTTCGGTTTAAAAAGCCAAGTACAACAATTTTCAAGAACGTACATGCAAAGACAAAAACATGTTTACCATTTGCACTAGACGTAGATGATGCACTATCCACTTGCACTTCACATGCGTCAGATTCGTCGACATAGCGCTGGGATGTCTCATCTATAACAAATGATTGGAAATGGGCCTTTATAAAGCTGCCACTGATACAATTTTTCATTTCGATTTTACCTCATGTTTGCAAAAATATCATTATAAAAATTAAAATATTAAACTACTTAAGATATGCACTGTTGTGATTTTTACCTCGTTTGCGTCTGCGCAGAATTCGAATACAGTGCTTGAGGATCATTGCTACGTTTTGTCTTTGAATTCTGGAAATTCTTTCTTGGATATGACGCTTCTGGCCCTGCATTTCAAGGAGACTTTCCTTGCTGTTGCATCGCTTGAGATGACGAATTGAAACCTGGGTGGCAGAGAAGCGATGTTTGCCAATTCTGCTGAAGATATCTGCCAAGCCAACCAAAGCTTCAAGATAGAAGAAGGTCATATCATATTTTTCAGCATGTTCGGCTGAGATGGTAAAGATCTTTATCGCTGAAGAATAATGTTCTTCCCGGTTGATAAATATATAAAACTCAGCAACAGCATTCATATGTTTGCAATAACGAACGAGATCTTCTTTCTTTCGGCCAATATCTTTAGTGGCGATTTTATCCAATAATTGCAAAAGCTCATCACAAAGTTGGACGCCGTCTTCGATGTATTGATCACGATCAATATTCTTGAGTGATAGCAAGTTTTTGTAGCATCTCAAGATCTGCTGATAACAAACTAGCTTGCCGTACGTGTCATCCTTCGTTCTTTTCAATATCCCCATTTCGAAAAATGTTCGTTCATCGTCGATAAACTGTTTGTAACGATCAATTGCGTTCTTCAAGTCCTTAGCATGGGCCTGAGCATTCTTCTTCTTACGTGTACCATCTTGACTGATATAGTCGTCATTAACCAAGAGATATAGAAGACCATTCGCTTGCACCGAGAATTCATGCAAGACATGCTCATTGTGATTCATTTGCTTGCTGATCTCGTGTGAAAGACAATACGCTAGCTTCAAAAGATCGATGTAAAAGCTCAGATTCTCGGCTGTTGCTCTATCTCTGTAGAAATAATTTCTGCCAAAGCTGTAAATCACTGAAAGGTAAAGTTCCGGTAGAAACAATTCACGATAGCGATCAACGCTGTATGCCGCACCATGGTCAACGAGCACCTTAACATCATTTGGCGAAAGCGGATATGACGATTCGACCGTTTTCTTCACCGTCTGAGTCTCCTTAACAACTTCGGGAAACAAAGCAAAATCTTGTTTGTTTACAGTTCGCAAGAATACAAGTTCATTAATTATCTCTGGGGATAGTTCTGAACTCTTCTTAGTTAGTTTAGTGAACAACTTACGCGCGACTGCTGAATCTGTCCTGGTAATACCATACATGGAGTCTTCAAGCAAACTTCCCCAACAAAGACCTAATAAACTACAAAGAAGACTATCATCAGGTTGTAAATCTTCCTCGGTTATTCCACACAACTCATGAAGCAGATTTCTAGCACGTATAAAGTGAACGTCCAGTTTATGTTGTGAAGGAGGCTGTTGCTGAGTGTAGGTGAAGCCAACCAGTTCTGATAACCGAGCTAATGCTATCAAAGAACGATCATCTTTCTGTTTGTTCTCCCACTCTCGCAGAAATATCTCCGCATGTTCACGAACGGTACGCTGAAGAAAATCTCCTTTCGAAAAACGGTTATCTTTACTGACATACTTCATAAATATTCCCGCCAATTTGTACAGTAGATCGTTTTTTAACGATATAGCGATTATGTCTCTGATCACATACTGGGTAAAAGAATGAAAAGAAAAGAACCGAATACCATTTTCTTCTGTGATGCGAACCAGTGACTTGAGCTCATCATGTAGAACGTTTAAATCTGCTACGTTTGCCAGGAGATCATTTGAAGATAGCAGATTACTCAGAAAAAATTCTGGAATCATTTTATTAGAGATTAAAGAAGTGGCAGCAATAGCACGAAATTTATCACTGTCAACTTCTTCCAAACATGCACATACACTTTCGTAAAGTATTCGATCACGATTACTTAACTCCGCTAGACGGACTTTCTGCGCTGCCAGCCTGTTATGCTGCATTTCCAGATACTTTAGAGCAGGGATCTTATTTTTCAACATGTACTGTTTTGCAGCTGTCAAACCCAATATATTCCAACCAAAATGATCACAAAGCTCTTTTAAATCTTCTTCACAGTTTTCAGCGTGAATACCCTCAAGAAAGTCCAATGCCTCCTCAAATTTCTCTACCCAAAGTTGCTCTGCATCAGGAAAATCCAAAGAAGGATAATTGGTTGTGATGATGATGTAAATTGAACGTCGGATGCTCCACAAGCTTTTAAACCAATCACAATTAGACGGGTTCGTTCCTACGTTATCTAACAAAAACATGATATCTTCATTTTCAGCTTTTTGTTCAATAGTGTGGAACAACTCGCCATACGATATACCAAGTTTCTCGGCCAGATCTGTTAACGACTCGATGATGCTATCTTCACCAGTAGAGACATCTATAACCCAACTTATAGCAAACTTTTGTTTATTCACAAAAATATGACGCAGAGCCGCGGACGTTTTCCCGGTCCCAATTGATCCATGCAATATTTTAAGTTTTCCCTTTTGGATTTTTTTAATTTCATCATCTAATTCTTTTCTTGACCAATACTTATGAACTGGTTCATAGCAGTTACTAACAGGCGCAGTACTTCTTGGACCTAAAAGTATAAATTGTATAGTTTAAACAATATAAGCGACACTGGTTATTGGCATAGTGCACTTTGGTTCAGTCACATCTTCGATGAATAAAATCTAGTTTGACCCGATCTTGTTGGAAATAGTATGGAAATCCAATTTTCATACTGATTGCAATTTCCATGCTATGGATAGAGTATGGAAATAATTTGGATATAGCATGGAAATAACATATATATACTATCGATTTGGTCATGCAATTGCAAATTCCATAGTATGGATTTCACTATTTTTCCAGTGAAATACGGTAGGTCTTCCGCGCCAGGTACTGTATATACTTTTAAGTATTTAAAAATATATAAACAAAAAAAATTACATATCTAATTTTTTATTACCAATAGACAGCGCCCCCCTGCATGGTTATTTATCTACCTAACATAATCTAGTTAATTTAACCAGGAAGGCCTACCAGTTAAATTAACTAGGCAGTAGGTTAAAATAACCAGGAAAATTAACCAGGAATATTAAGTTAACCCAAATAGGGTTGTTTCTAGGTTTATTATTAGCATGACAAAATTACTGGATGCTGATTGGTTGAGAGGAGTACAATTATTTCATTAATTGTACTGCAGTACAATTAATGATTTTCCCAAAACAAACAAAATGGCGGAAGGTATTTTAAACACAAATGTGAAATGAAATTGCCCTAGAGAAACTAGATGAAAATACGAACAAAAGCATCAAATTTTGCTTTAGCAAAATAACTAAATAAAAGTACGAACAAAAGCACCAAATTCCGGTTGAAGGTCTTGCAGGACTGCGCTTTGGCGAGAGAATATGATGTTGACATTGAGAAGTATCCCATTTTGTCATGCTAATAATAAACAAGTAATCCGGCGGCTCGTCCAATTTCGGCAAAATTTCCAAACATCACTCGTACTATTAATCCCTAATTGTACTCGCCATCGCATGATTACCTAATATACTGTCTTGTTAAATTTATTCACGAGTTTTTCTTTTTTGTAAATACACAAAACTTACTTCTTTTTAAATTATATTTTTATATGAAATTGTGAATATTGTATAGACTAAAGCATTCAATTCCTACCTGTACCTGAAATAACTTGACCAACATGGCATTTTTCTGTACAAGGACAATGTTTATTAATGGTAATGTTATCACCAATACATTTGATATCGTTGTCACCGGACAAAGATATCATGTTGGATTTTTCCATACCTAAATAAGTAAATTTATGTCAAGAGGTGAATTGGACAAAATCACTAAGATAATCAAGAGATACATAAAAGCAGCACCTGAAGGTAAATGTTATCCGCTTACCATCTCGGGAGAATGGTGCTCTAGAACGCGCAAAGTCACACAGTGCTAGTTTTGTAGAATGTAGGGTCTTCCCATTTTGAGACCAACTGGGAATTCCTGCTGAATGAGAAGAAAGCCAGGAGGAAAGCTGCTTATTTTCCTGCAGCGTCCCTATGCAGGAGTTCAAAATTTGGGTTTTTTCCATCAGAAAACTTACTGAGATTGATAAATTTTTTCAAAACTGTTTTGGGGTACTTATAACACGTCGTACCAACGTGAGTTTCACGATAATTTTTTTGAACGGGAATGGCATGCAGCGGTGGTACTCGGCAGCTTTCTTTCTGACTCTTTTCTCATTAAGCAGCAGTTTCCTGCCGTTTTCGGTAGTATGAACAGCATTGTCGTATGTTTAGTTATGAAGACATTGATGTGGGCTGGGGCTGTTCACATCAATGTGGGACACAACCTTTATCACATCATAGGGCATGCATACAAAGCTGTAACAAACGCCTTCGCGTAGTCGGAATACAATTCATTTGTTCTGTTCTGTTCTGTTCTGTTTTATTTTGTGATGTCTTAAATTCCTTGGTCAACAATTTTACTAAAAGTACCAGGTGAAACGCTCTTAATTGTTAGGTTAATTACAACCAAATAGAAGCAAATACATTTTCGATGGAGTTCCTTACTAGATAGCGTAAATGAATTCAGATGCTAGTTTCAAAATCAGAGGGTAATCGCCATGTACTCTATCGTACATTCCAACAAGACATCGCGACACGTTCTACTCTAAGTTGAGGTAAGCTTATCTTAAGTGTTCAGTACTTTTTTGTAAACTATTCCTTCGTAAATCCACCACTAATCTCATAGTGAAATCCACAAATTAATTTGTTGTTGGTTTTCGTCAGTATTAAAACATCGTTCCGTTGGTTTATTAAGGACTTGGATATTTAATTATTCATTTTAAAATTTAATTATTCATTTCATCTGGGCTAAATGATATTTCAATGAATTCACAACCATTGTTTTCACGTTGCTTTCTTGCTTGCTTAGCCTTAAGCTCCCCAATTTTCCCGTGTTTCAACATGTCTTCCTCTTTTTTCATTCTAATCTTTTACATGCTAAACACGATTATAAACAGACTGCTTACAACTCTCGTCTAAAGGCCCATTTCCACTCAGGAAAAATTTTACGCAGAAAGAAAATTTTGTAAAATGAGATTGGCCGACACAATGACATTTTAACAATGACATTTTTGGAACATTTTCTTTCCATGGAAATTTTTCTCGAGTGGAAATGGCCTTAACAGATAAGCTGTTGTTTGATACAGGAGACAAGTTCTAGGCTATATCATACTTCTGGAAAAGTTAGCTCCTTAACCTGATCACCCACCCTTGTGTAATACATTGTGCCAGATGTACCAGCTCATCCTACTAGTGTCTCCATGGGCCTGATAACCTATGTTAGAACTTTTTGTAGATAGATTAATATTAATATATAGATATAATATAGTTAGATATTTTATAAAGAACACCGCCCTTGAATGAGTGCCGCTGTCCCAGTTGATTTGGACCCCCGTAGATTTGGACTCCCTGGTCCAAATCTACTAGTGGATATGGACCCCCCCGGTCCATATTAAATAGTATGTAATTTAAACGAAATAACAGCAAATGGTTCGACAAGTGAATGCAGCTCACTGATAATTATTTTCTTAGTGTGTACTTCTTGTTTCTTCGTAGAGAATGTCACTGCTAACTGGTCACTGGACTTAATTGCTCCATCTTAAATCCAAGGTTTTACCTGACTGGGAAGTAATTTTTCAACCGGTATTCCTAAACTATTTTCGTTGTAGTACGTGCCATTTGTACAAGTGAAAAATGTGCCCTGTCAAAAATTTTATCTTTATCTCAATATTAATTTATGACTTCATCAAAAACTTATTTTATGATCATTTAATAGATGATCTAGTGTTTCTCTATCTGTCTTCGTGGAAACAACACTATTTCACAGTTGTCAAATATCTGATATTTTACCACGTACACAATTTTAAACAACTTATGCCACACCATTGTAATTACATTACATTACATTACATTAGTTCACTCCCCACTGCGGCTCTTCAGTGACCGATTACATCAAGTATTATGCTTACCTATGTTACTTACCTAGCCTAGACTATTTATCTTTACAACAATTATGATTACTTTCTAAAACTGTGTTTATCCTAACCCACCTTGTCAACTTTCCCTGTGGGAGGAAACCAAAGTGCCCAAAGAAAACCCACGACTTTCGGCAGGGCGTCGACAGACAGAGTCAGTACGTAGCCAGAATTAGAAGAAAGATCAACTCCATATAGCCATAACTAGCATCTTATATACTAGAAGTTACTATCGCAAGGAAAGTGCTGCCTCACCCCCAAGGGATCAAAGGCAGCATGCGCAATTTGCTGAATAAGGGACTGTTTTTATGATCCCGCTTTGCCAGGATGAGATACGAGGCGGAATGATTTAGATGTATTTAAATAAGTCATGATGCACACTTCAGCAAAAAAACTTCATTAGAAGAAAGATCAACTCCATATAGCCATAACTAGCATCTTATATATAATTCTAGTTAACTGACACAGAACGTCAGTTGGTATGAAAGCAACTACCTGAAAAATACAAGGAGAAATTCGGCATTTCGAGTGAAGGCCCTTCATTCGAAATGTCAAATTTTGCCCTTTTATTTTTCAGGTAGTTGCACTCATACCAACCAAAGTTTTGTCATTGTTGGCACTACCTACACTGGCACAAGATTAACTGTGGTGTGACCGTTCGCGATTAACTGACACAGAAGTATAAGGCAGGCAACTACCTCCAACAAAGCACTTGAATAGAAAAGCCTCTGCTACCAATCCTGACATCACAATTAAGGAAGTATGCTTTGATGTAGTTCCATCCTATTACCTATATCAAAGCACTTCAACAGAAGCAAGCTCGCAGTCCAGTGCTACCAATCCCGAAGTCAAATTCATTTGCATAAATCAACAATCTTTGTAGTTTCACTGCCATCATTGTCTCATTCTATTACATGTTCGAAATACAAGTCCTCCATAGATATAATTATATAAATACACATAGTCCTATCTAGTGATATTCAATAGGCATCAGGCCACAAAATTTCTGGAATTTCTGTTGAACACTTTGGTTGCAGTGCCCAAATGAATTGCATTACTTCATATTCGCTGTGTGAGTTCGTTAGTTCAGAATCATAAGCCTTGGCATTTCTTCAAAAATAGTATGTCTTGAACTTTGTGGTGCACTTGTTTTGCACCAACCTCGTTCCCAGGCTCTTACCTCTTGTGGAGGAAAGACACAGGTAACTAGGAGCTGGTCATGTGATCTGATAAAATCTAGCAGACTTCTAATTAACTATCTGGGATTCCTTTAAAATCAAATCAAATTTGCAAAACAACATGAAAGTTATAAATTAATGTATAAATATAAAATACTTATCAAAACATCATCAATTAAAAATCTGCTAAATTTTAGCAGATCACGTGACCAGCTCCTACCAGGGTCTTTCATCCACAACATGTAAGAGCCTGGGAATGAGGTTGGTTTTGCACCACAGATTTCTTGATAAGGATGCAACTACCTGGCAAGGCGAACTTCGAAATGTCAAAGTTCTCCTTGTATTTTTCTGGTAATTGCATCCCTATCAACTGAACTTTTGTTATTATTGGCACTACCTGCACTGGCTCAGTTGTTCAAGATTATAATTTGAATTAATTAAGGCTACCTTTCAGTTGACCACTTTCCATATCTGCATCATGGCCGGACTTTGAGGGGAGGTGTGGGTGCGCACCTCCCCTAATAGTCCCTAGAATTTTTACACACCCCCTAAAAAATCATGCACCTCTCCTTGGGAATGTTTCAATGATAGATCAAAGTGAAAATTTGGTTGCTTATTATTGAGAGATTTGGGCAAGTTGTGAGGCAGGTGTAGAATGCAATCAATAATACAATATCGGTATAATTTTTTTGGTATACCGATAACGGAAATTTCTCATACCGAACATTCCTAATACACTAATACATATATGTACACCACATATATAACTTTTTATGGGGGTCGTGAGCTAAACTGTTGCACCTCCTCTAAAATTTTTTCCACTTCCCCCACTATTTTCACCAAAATCCGGCCTTGACCTGCGTATATGCACGGAAAAGTTTAAATCTTTCTAAATTTTATATAAATAATAATTATCTCAACAAATACACATACAGTGAATCGTACACAAAACTAAATGCTTTTATTCATTTGCAAAGCTATATTTTTAAAAAGTACATTCTCCAATTCGAGTTTGCATCATGCCATCATTGATTTTTCATCTTCATATTTAGCAGATATCAGAGCCTGAAATAACGGCCGGCGGTTTTCCAACCAAATTCCGATTTTTTGACCAAATGCTGAAATGATCGGAAATTTTGTCCGGCCAAATTTTGAGAAAAATAAAAATGTTTTCTTAATGATCGGTCGGAACTCAGCACAGTGAGTACCATCTGTAAGTTTGGATTATCTATATTAGGCTAATAATTATAAAGTAATCAACTAGAAAGTATAGTTCACGGGCCCAATAAACAAGATGGCGGCTTACAGCATGGTGTTGTCGGGTCAAGATAAAAACAGCGTCGGCGGGCGTGATTAAATTATTATTCACTATCACTATTCCAATAAGCAATTCAGAATTAAACATTTGTCTTTTATTATTGCAAGTAGAGTGATTTACTCGGTGCACGTCTGTATACTTGACAGAGTTTGCTCGTTGGGGGGGGGGGGTGGACTTGGTCAAACTAAACTAAAAAAATTCCGGTCAATTTTGCAAATTTCCGGTCAAATTTCGTTTTGATCGGAAGTTTTTCCGGACAAATTTTAAAATTATTTCAGGCTCTG